AAAAACAAAACTAATGCACTGCGTCCTCAGTGGCTCTGATGTCGGGAAAAAATTAACACTCTTATGTTCTTCTACATCACAAAACCACAAAACACCTGCATCGCTTACAAGACATTGTCGCTACAGCTGCTCGAGCGCGGAGAAAATGATGTACTTCGTACAACTGGCTGAGGGCGAAAATATGCTAATACGGGACAGTACGTCAGCGGTCGTGGGAGGGGCCTGAGTATGTATGACATCATACTGCTCAGAAAATCAAAACGGCTTGGTAATTGTGAATGTTTAGGTTTTTGGGGGATTAAAAAAAAAGGAGTGAATGGATTTTTATCATTGGGTAAATTAATTAACAGTGCATTGAAGGAAACAAAATAACTAATAAACAATTAACAATTGTTGTTGTTGTTGTACTGGTACAACAGCTGCATCACATTTACTAATCTATATAATTTATGCATAGTATCTAATAAATAATTAATTAATTTATAGGGTGGTTGTGTCCACACACTGCTAAGATATATTTGTGCAAACACCATGTAAAAGTGAATTTTGCATCCAATGTCTCCTTTAAAATTAAAATATTATAATCTTAATTCAAGTGATGAAGGATTTTGAAAGTCTGACAGTGTTGAGCACTACTGTAAGGTTAACCCTGCATGGTGTAAATGTTTGAAAATTATTAACAGTTGCAAATAAACATTCATTAGAAATTTAGAAAAGTAATCAAAAAGTAATCAAATGTAATCAGTTACTTTAATAAAGTAATTGAAAAGTTACACTACTTATTACATTTTAAGTAGGGTAACTTGTAATCTGTAACCTATTACATTTCCAAAGTAACCTTCCCAACACTGAATGTGCTACATGAAGATCATTAATTGAATACCTTGGTATTACCATATGTTACGATTATTGTACTGTGCAGTAGAGGCGGCGCAACTATAACGACATGTGAATAATCCTGCCCACTCTAAAACGGTACTAAACTGCAGTGGAAAGACAAACCAAGCCGAGCCGAGCCGTGTCGTACTGAGCCGTGCCGAGCCAAGTCGTACCACGCAGTGGAAAAGCGCCATTTGTAAGGGTTTGCTGTACAAACCATCGTTGTGAGTGTTTATTAACCCTCATAAGGTCCGCTACATTTTTATGAAAAAATCACTTAAATGATCTAAATTTAATTGAAGTTGTTTCTGAATATTGATCTAGGACAGGTGTTAGGTGTAAAATTCTGCCATCTGCTGGTTAGAGAAAAGCTTGTAGAAATCACAGTTTTTGAAAGAATAGTGTCTTCTTCTTCTTTTCCTTTCGGCTGTTCCCTTCAGGGGTCGCCACAGCGAATCATCTGCCTCCATCTAGCCCTATCCCCTTCTGCATCCTCTTCTCTCAGACCGACTACCTTCATGTCTTCCTTCACTACATCCATAAACCTCCTCTTTGGTCTTCCTCTCGGCCTCCTGCCTGGCAGCTCTAACCTCAGCATCCTTTTCCCGATATATTCACTCTCCCTCCTCTGAACATGTCCAAACCATCTCAACCTGGCCTCTCTAACTTTGTCTCCAAAACATCTCACATGTGCTGTCCCTCTGATGTACTCATTCCTGATCCTATCCATCCTCGTCACTCCCAAAGAGAACCTCAACATCTTCAGCTCTGCTACCTCTAACTCTTCCTCCTGTCTTTTCCTCAGTGCAACTGTCTCCAAACCATACAACATCGCTGGTCTCACTACTATCCTGTACACCTTTCCTTTCATTCTTGCTGGTACTCTCTTATCAAACAACAAACCTGACCCTTTTCTCTATC